AAAAAATCCCCCCCCCCCCCACCAGTTTATACAGTTCTGGTTTGTAACACCTCCAGCTCACTTCCGACAACCATTCCCCCCTCCTCCCCCGTTACTTATGACAGCCAAAAGATGCAAAGCAAAGGGAGAAAATCTTGAAGGCTGACAGGTTTGGACAATTAGAAGATTCCAATAAAAAATCAAGGCGGGGAGGAGGGAAATTTATCTGGGTCCCAGTTTATTCCGTTCAGGCTGAAACAAGGGGAGCCATCCAAGCCTGATCAAGGCCTGAATTTGACTGGACAACAATTGCAAACAGACATAGTTTATTTTGGCATTGTGAGTTCCAAATAAATCAATAATTTATCAGAACCAATTTATGCACATTTTATTTTTAATAATGATTTTTTTTTTGTTGTATGCTGCCAAAGTCATGTTTCAATTGGACAGATCTATAAACGTTTATGATCAATCCATCCATCATTCAAATCACATTGGAATCCAGAGAAATTAAATAATTTGTAGCTTGGCACCCTGGGAGTCAGTTTGGCAACTTACTCATGGAATAGTGCAAGAACAAAATGAGCAATGTAATTACAGAAGCTCTTTCTTCCAATTATTACAATCACTTCCCCTTCAATTATTTCTTCCAGATTCTGAGATTTTAGCAGCTGGTCAAAGCTTTGAGTGTATTGACATACAATGTAAATGCTACAAACTTCCTTTTAAAAAAAGGTAATTTATTGTTCAATAAAACAATTGTCTATCGAGGTAGTCCTCGATCTATGACCACAACGGAGCCCAAAATTTATGTTGTTATGTAAGACATTTGTTAAGTGAGTTTTGTCCCATTTTATGACCTTTCTTGCCACAGTTAAGAGAATCACTGCTGTTGATATGTTAATAACCTGGTTGTTAAGTGAATCTAGCTTCCCCATTGACTTTGCTTGTCAGAAGGTCTCAAAAGGGGGTTACATGACCTCAGGACACAGCAACGATCATAAAATATGAACCAACTGCTAATCATCTTAATTTTGATCACATGATTATGGAGATATCGCAATGATCGTAAGGGTGAAAAATGGTCCTGTCATTTTTTCCAGTGCCGTTGTAACTTTGAATGGTCACTTAATGATCTGTTGAAAGTCAAGGACTACTTACGTGCTAACTTTGGCTTAGAAATTACACATTCTCAAAATAATTTACTACTTTCCATACTGGCCGCCCACCTACTTGTTATGCTTCAAAATTTAATTTTAATACTAAAACAGTAATCTTGCAACAATTTAAACTCCTCCAAAGAATTCTGATTGTCTAAGATCTGATCTTAAGAATTCAAGCCTTTTTACATATTACTGATGTTCTTCACCTGACATTGTCCCCTTAACTACTAGCACTCTGTGAAATCCAAACCAACATTCAATAATAGTCTAGCCAGATTTGATGTCAGGGTGGAATACAGGTAGTCCTCAACTTTTATGTCCACAGCTCAGCACAAAATTTCCACTGCTAAGTTTTTAAGTGAGTTTTGCTCCATTATACGATCTTTATTACCACAGTTGTTAAAGGAATCAATGAGGTTGTTAAGCTAGCAACATGGTTGTTCAGTGAATCTGGCTTTCTCATGGACTTTGTCAGAAGGTTGCAAAAGATGACCCAGGACACTGCAACTGTCATAAATATAAACCAGTTGCCAAGCGCTTGAATTTTAAGCACGTGACCATGGGGATGGTGCAGTGGTTGTTGTAAGTGTGAAAAAGGGTCATAAGTCACTTTTTTCATCACTTTTGTGAAACTTTGGTCACTAAACAAATGGTTGTAAGTCAAGGACTACCTGTACAGACATAACAAGGTGCCTTGATGTAACCAACACGAGACGTTACACAAAATGAACTTCATACTCTGGAGAATAAGTGGTGCAGAGAAAAGGAGGTAACATTACAATGGCCCTGCTCTGAACTGTAGAATGGGCAAAGCCTCATGAATGAAATGTTTATGCCTATTCTAAACATTTCTCCCAGAAAGCAGATGCATCATGGACGCCAATCAAGTTCTTCCTCTATGGCTTGTGAAAGCCGACAGGGAAAACAGACGCAAACCTGTCAGTTTCTGTCTCTGCCCTTCAGCAACATGTGCAAACTCCAGGACCAATACCTGACAGGAAACACACACACAGCCCCGCCCGCTCAGAAGGAAACCTGCTCTCTGAGCACGATTTCCAAGTCAGAA